TTGTCTACGAAAATACATGAGAACCTTCTCATACTTCGGTGACCCGCTTGACATGGCAATCCGCAAGCTTTTGATGGAAGTCGAACTTCCGAAAGAAACCCAGCAGATTGATCGTTTCGTGCAGGCATTCGCTGACCGCTATCATGAATGCAACCCAGGCATCTTCACTGCCCCAGATAACGCGTACTTTATTGCATTTTCGCTTTTGATTCTTCACACCGACGTCTTTAATAAGAACAACAAACGGAAGATGCAGAAGGCGGACTATGTTAAGATAAGTCGCAGTGAGGGAATCTCGGAAGACATTCTTGAGTGTTTCTATGAGAACATCTCATACACTCCGTTCATTCGTGTCGAAGACACCAATCTACCTGACCGTCATTTGGCAAAACCACGTCGCACTCTGTTCAAAAGCACTAGCTCCGAAAATTTGGCCCGGATTGCACGGGAGCCTGTCGATCCCTATTCGCTTATCCTGGAAGGCAAATTGGGAACACTGCGCCCCAGCTTGAAAGATGTCATGGATCTGGATGATACATACAATCATTTTGGAACCGCTGGGCCACCAGACATGGATGCTCTTCACCTGGCCTTCACCAAGTCCGGAATCTTGCAGATCATCTCTCTCCGCTCTCGTCCTGACGCGTTCATGCCAGCTAGCTTGGATAGTCCACTCGACTCGAATCCCGGTCTGGTAGACATCAAAGTCGCCAAGGTCGGCTTGCTTTGGCGGAAAGACCCGAAGAAGAAGAAAGCCAGGTCACCTTGGCAGGAATGGGGTGCTATCCTCACATTCTCTCAGCTCTACTTCTTCCGCAATGTGAACTGGGTGCGCTCACTCATAGCACAGCAGGAGATATACGTAAAGAATGGCCGTCGTGGAACTCTTGTTTTCAAGCCACCCCTTGCTGAATTCAAGCCGGACAACATTGTGTCTACTGGTGACACAGTTGCCCTCCTAGACTCGAGTTACAAAAAGCATAAACACGCCTTCATGTTTGTTCGACACAACGCGTTGGAGGAGATATTCCTTGCTGGCTCTGAGCCTGAGATGAATGACTGGCTTGCACACCTTAACTATGCTGCAGCCTTCAGGACCACTGGTGTGCGCACAAAGGGCATGATTGCCACGAATTATGAGGGACAGCGATACCGCAGGAGTCAGCGATTGAGCTCGATATCTTCACAAAAAACCCACCAGTCGACGGAAATAGAGCCCCCTTCTCCCAGCATCGATACTGACATTGTTGCCGAATTTGTTGCTGCACGGCGAGAATTGATGAGTCAAAAAATCCGGGAGAGAAATGAAAAGCTTGCCATGTTACAAAAACAACTCGATGATCTGTTACAAGATGCTCGACACTTGCAAGTGCTCACTCCTCTTCACGCTCGGGCCCGCGAGAGTGTCATCATGGCCGCTGGCCGTCTGTCTGCCAAGATCAAATGGGTGAGACAGGACATCTGGCGTAGTAAATGCTACCGCCAAGTTCTCCTGCGAGACCTGGGAGAGGATGATGAGGCAGTGGAAAGCAGGGTCGGGTCAATTGCTGAACCGACGCCATCCCAGTCGGACGGAGCACGCCTGGCCTCTCTTTCCGGACCGTCCGTGACATCGGAGCCTAGCATGGAAAGATCCGGTAGTATCGTGCATACTGTCTCTAGCGCTGATACCCCTGAGCCCAATGTGGCCCAAACCGAGCAGCCCTCGGAGGCTGGATTGCTGGCTAAGCCTTCGAATGATGAACTGCGTCGTCCCAGTATCCCGGCATCTGTCACTTCATCTGACATTGCTCGTGTCGGTCGTCGGCGCTCTGCTGTGGCCGTCCCCGAACGTGCCAAGTCATACTCACCTGATCCAACGACCATTAAACTCGAGCGTGAAGCCAGCCGTGCGAGCCGATGGGATGGAGCTAGTATGGCCTCGCGTACATCGAAATTGACATCACCTGCGAGCTTTGATGACGGCGAGGAGCGCGTTCTAAGGGAAGCTGGTCTACTGGCGCTGCCGGAGTCCCCGTCGGCACGCAAGGATGAAGAAATTGCCCCTGATGCACTCCCCGAGGGCGAGACAAGTCCAAACGATAAAAGCGACAGACCGAGTCGCGTCCGTCGCAGCCTGCACCGCACCCTCCGTGATTCGCATACTCATAGAAACCACTCTCATTCGAAGAAGAAACGGGGTTCAGTGTCTAGCCTTGGGCAGGAGGAGGACGATCAAGTGTCCGGCGATGGAGAAGTCCTTCCTCGAAAAGCCCCTAGTTTCATTGTACATGGCAAGAAAGCATCCATCGTCACATTCGGGTCTGAATGGCAGAACATGCCTCCGGAACAGCGCCTCAAGCTCCGCAAGCCCACCCCTCATGACGAGCCACGGGCGTCGGATCCTGCTATATTAGGTAGCGGCGAGTCGGCTATGACCGACCGCAGCCCGGAACGTCACTCAGTGCGCAGAACGAGCACCGCCACTGGTCTAAGTGTGCGCACCGACGATCTGGCGGAGTTCAAGGATGCGCAGGAAGAGCAACCGGAAGATGATTTTGGGGGCCCGGCTTCTCCAGTGATCACCACGCTTCCAACTACAGATGCAGATCCCCTAAACACCGAAGATACTCCCTATTCCCCTTCATCCACAATGTACAACAGCCATCTTTCCGCACCCAGACACGACGGCTCCCCCTCCCCTTCCCACTCCTCTACATCTATCAACGAGCGAATCGTTGACACGCCGTCCAGCGAAAACCTACGGCAGCAGGCCGTAGGTGCCTGAGTCTACACCGCCTCCTTCAACTCTCAACCCTCTCTTCCTTTACTTTCTTCTGTACATCCTAACCATTCTCATTTTGATCTTCTGCTTGACGATTATTATACCCCTTTCCCAAACTCTTGCGGCTCATTTTGTCTTTTCCTCGTTGACTTTCCTTACTGTCCTTGCATTAACATCTGGCGAATCTCGGTTTCGTGACAGGTTTTCGGTTCGGAGTGGATTTTGGAGCATCTCTTTTCGTCTCTGCGTCTGCGTTTGTGCTTCTGGGAACTCGGTTCATTTCCTGTCAGATCGTTGAATCAGATATGTATGACAGACTGCATTCATTGGCGTGCTCTGGTACCTCATAGCTTGGCCATTTCATTTCGATTATGCTTCTTTCGAGTGTGAGGCCGTGGAATCACTGATAGACAAAAGCGAATTATGATTGACAATGATTTGATTTGATACTTTTATTGCTTCCTAGGGTGTCTGTGAAAGCTTAAATGTAAGCAATTGCACGTAACGACTACGTATTGGAGTCAAATATTGTTCTTAATAGGAATGAGCATACAATCCCATGGTCTTCATAGATGTTGTATACAACAGTTGTAGGGCTGAGAAAAGCGGTGAACTAAGCGGTAAACCAACCCACCAATCCCAAGTCCCAATCTTCCACCGCCGCCAAACCCCGACCAAAAACCCATTACGACATCCAAAAAGCTACAGAAAGCCACCCTCACCTCCAATCAACTTTCGCGCCAACCACACCCAAAATGGCGCACTCAAAGCGAAACACCTCCCTCCCACACTTTACCTCCTACGAACGCGGCCTCCTACGCTCAACATGGGGCACAAAACGCAGCGCAATCGGCCGCGACAGCTTCCTAGCCTTCGGCTCCTGCCGTCTATGTCTGCAACCCGCACGAGCGCCTGTAGTCGCATGCGCTAGCAACGGCGACCTTTTCTGCCGCGAGTGTGCGATCAGCGACCTCCTCGCTCAGCGACAGGAGATCAAACGACTTGAAAAAGAGCGCGACGAGGCGCGGAAACGCATTGTGGAGGATGAGGAGCGTTCATTGGCGGAGATGAAGGAGAGAGATCTTAAGGATTTCGAGCTTGTTTCGATGGGATTGGAGAATAATGGTGGGAGGAAGCGGAAGGCGGAGGAGTCGGAGGCTTTGGAGAAGTTTAAGGCTAGGGAGGTTGAGGTTGATGGGAAGAGGAAGAGGGTTTTTGAGCTTGGGGAAGAGGAGATGGCTCGTGTTGCTAAGGATGAGAGGGAGAGGTTGAGGAGGGAGTTGAAGATGGAGAAGGTTTGTGGTTGTTCCTTGGGCTGGAGCTGGAGCTTGAAGCTTCGGTCTTCTATGGGGGGTTTGGTTTGACTAACAACTTTGCTCTAGTCGTCTAACAAATCCGCTCTCCCGTCCTTCTGGGTCCCGTCTTTAACGCCTAACACGGATGCGAATGAAATCGCCGCCAACAAGACTGTCAAGTTGACGCCTGTTTGTCCTGGCTCGACGGATGAGAGCCGGCATAGCTATTCGCTCAAGTCACTTGTTGATGTTAATTTCACGGAGGAGAAGGCTTCCGATGGGACTGTGTCTAGGGTGTGTCCGAGTTGCAAGAAGAATTTGAGTAATGGGCTCAAAGCGATGCGTATGTGGAATGGAAGTTGGTATAGTCATGGGGTCTTGCTAATTATCTTCTTTAACAGTCACAAAGCCCTGCGGGCATGTCATTTGCTCTCCATGCGTAACGAAATTCATGACTCCCCACCAACATCACGTCCCCGATCCACATGCCTCGAAGGAGGAGCAGGAGGAAACTGCTGCTCTCCATGGCCAGGTTCTATGCTTTGTGTGCGAGACAGATCTTACGCCAAAGTCAAAACCAGACGACAATGGGAATGGGAATGGGAATGGGAATAGCAAGAAGTCTAAGAAGAAGGATAAGGATGCCATTCAGCCTGGTCTGGTGGAGATCTCCTCTGAGGGGACTGGCTTTGCTAGCAAAGGTGGGAATATGGGGAAGAAGAACGGGGTTGCATTCCAGTGTTGAGCGACTCTGAAACAACACGAGAATGAAACATGAAACACCAGTTTCGATTATTTGTACGATAAAAATATCCTGATATTGCCGCCCGGAGCGGTTATTAACGCCCGAACCATGCAAATACAATGTTCTAGATATACAATGAAGCCATACGAGAAGTCAACAGGCGAACCTAGTCTCTCTCATCTTATCTGCCCCAAGCTCAAGAACGCTTCTTGGCATTGTTGAACTCGCGCACAGTGACTTTGCAAGCCACCTCCTGACACAAACGACGACGACGACCGAGGTCCAACTTAGAACCGAACTCCAGACCAGAGGCACGCTCCACAGCCTCGAGAGGAACCTCAAAGTCAGTTAGAGGCTTATCATTCGCAATGCGAGCATTGGGCAGAACAAAAGCACCGAGCGCAACCTTGCTCGTGGGCGAGTTGGTTCCATCCTCGGCATAAATAACCTTATAGAAGTGCGTGGGCACAGCGACGTTAGGTGGGTTACCAATAACCTCGTAATTAACGCGCCATTTTCCATCCGGGTCACGGTGAGGCAGGTACAGCGGGCCAGTAACAACACGAACGGAAGGATAACGCTTAGTGAGATCACGACAGAAAGTCTCAAAGTGCGCCCAGTAGTCGCGGTTGAAGCCCTCGCCGACCTGTGGACACATATTGCTCAGCGCGAACGTGCCGTCCATCGCATCCTGTGACCACTTCGCGTCGGCCGCAGGCACCTGGTGTCCGCGGTCATAGCCCGAGCGGAAATAGTCGGACAGCTTGGCGCGGAACATGGACGGGATGGTAGTGTCCTCGAAGAAGGTGCTCTTCTTTCGGTCGGCGTTGTTAATCGCCAGCGATTGGGGGGTTATGTGTTCTGCGACCCAGGATGGGTTGCGGGTGCGTCGGTCGTAGGCGCCGTGCAATGGGAGGGAGGAGAGCTCGTCGGCGATTGGGCCCGGGAAACCATATTGGAGGATTCCTGCTGCGTCGACAGGACTGGATAGCTTGGCTGCTAGGGCTGGGACTGGGATAGTTGAGGGCACCTTAGGACCTGGGATTGTCGGCGTCGGGGTGAGGGTCTCTTGTTGTGGCTTTGTGGATTTGCCGGAGAAGAGCAGCGCGGTGACACCGGCACCGGTGGCTGCACTGGCAGCAGCGATGACGGCCAAAGTTGCTTTGGACATGGCTGTCCTGATATTTAGGGCTTGGTTAAGTTGAGAGGGCCAGGAACCAAAAGACAATAAAAAGTCGGGGAGTCACGGGCCAATCACATCACATGGGCCCCGAACTATTGTTCTATGTGGGAGAGGTGTCTTGTTATATATATTCTCTTGCTCTTAGTTCTCTTCATTCTCGTGATTCTGAGTCTGGTGAGTCTAAAATTATTCAAATCACAAGATAATGTCAGTTGCACCCCCTACCACCCCCTTGCATGTGTGTACCCTTCATAGAAAGTGTCAAGTCACACCCGACCAGTTGCCATGAGACAGTATTTATGAACCGGAGACTGGACCTTTTTTTCCCCATTTCTCTATATTCCATAGCCTCAGGGACTTACAGGGATTTGTAAATTCCCGATGCCAGACCGTCTATTGCAGATCCCAGCCATGAGGGGGAGTTGCAGAACTGCAGTGAGAACCTTGGGGGTGAATGCACTGTCCTCAACAGGTGATTAGCATATAAGACCCTATCAATGGACATCTTTTTATTATATCGCGAGAGAAGGTGAGAGAGGCGAAGTGTTGACCGCCAACCTGATTGCCAAATTACATCACCGTTTCCTGTTTTCTTCAACTCCCCACGCCATGTCTGCCAACGACCTCCGGGGGTGGGTGATGAGCGCCGTCTCAGGCGTCGGTAAGTGTCGCCTGAAATACTTGCGATCAATCGCTGACTGGATTCAGCCTGCGTCCTTGGTTCCTCTATCATCTGCGTCGATGTGCTAGTGCAGGTGCTTTCCCGCCGCAAGAGCTTCCAGATCGCCAAAAGCAGTAATTTCCTGTCGGCGTCGTTATGTCTCAGTGCTGGAGTCATGGTGAGCTATCATTCTAGAGTAATGCATGAATTATATACTAATTTCAGGCAGCTATTTACCTCCCTCTATAGCATGCTCCCCACCTCGAAGGAGTACCTCACGCGCGCCGGCTTCTCCCCCGCTGTCTCTGCATATATTTTGATCGGTCTCTTCATTGCCGGAGTGGCAGGTATCCAATTAGTATCTGCATTCGCACACCGATTTATTCCATCCCATGTTGTCGACTGTGCTCATACCCATGACAAGTCGGAAAGTGATCCCGAGCGCGGCGAGCCCGCGCATGAGGACCATGTTCACAACCATACAAATGGACATACCGAACGAACACCGTTGCTGAGGCCTAACAAACCACCTTCATTCAAGTCAATGCCAGCGGTGGTACAACGGAGCCAACATACCGAGCCGGCGCCCAGACGCCGCGAGACAATGCGGGCGATCTTGACGCGCAGCATTACGTCGCTTATGGGTGGCGTAAAACCCACCTGCGACGAGGATGGCCCTTGCTTCGGGGTTTCTCAAACCTGTGGCAGTGAATGTACCAAAGTGCTTCCATCCAACGTCAATGAGACCACGCGAACAAGCCTGCCGCATCGTGAAAGTATATCTGTGCCGCTGGAACCGGAAATTTCCCGCGCTGAAACTGACATTGGCAATGAAAATGTACCTACTGCACCGGAAGGGGGCTATTTTGACAACATCTCCGCACAGCATCACATGCACCCGTGTGCTTCGTCCGCTTCATCTCAGATTCTAGACCCACAGTCGGGTCATCTATCTCATTCGCATTCCGAGCATCATTCCCATGAATCTCATGACCACATCGGGGATCTTGATTCTGAGCGTCCCAAATCTGCCGCTGGCAACCCCCATCACCATCATGTCCCTAAAAATGCATTCATGTCCATTGGACTCCAGACATCACTCGCCATTGCTCTACATAAGCTCCCCGAGGGATTCATCACCTACGCCACCAACCATGCCAGTCCAACCCTCGGTATGACAGTGTTCCTAGCTCTATTCATCCACAACATCGTGGAAGGCTTCGCCATGGCACTCCCGCTCTACCTAGCCCTCGGTTCCCGCTGGAAGGCAATGTTCTGGTCTAGCCTCCTGGGAGGTATCAGTCAACCAGCCGGTGCTGGCCTAGCCGCACTTTGGATATGGAGCACTGGACAACACGGTAGCGACGATGCCACAGGCCCCTCGTGGGGGATATACGGAGGTATGTTCGCCGCCACCGCTGGAGTTATGACTTCTGTTGCATTGCAACTCTTCAGCGAGGGACTTGGTCTCACCCATCACCGCGGAATGGGAATTGGGTTCGCCATTGCGGGCATGGGGTTGATGGGTTTCAGCTTTGCATTGACTGCTTGACCAGGTTTTGGCTCTGGTCAGTTTCCTCATAGGCCTGGCCTTTGATCTTTTCGCTGGAATGCATAACCTCACATGGTGTGATTTTAACTACATTCGTTCAACATGGCCACGGTGTGGTCTTGCACAAACTGGCAAGGTTATGTGCATATTTGGACAGTGTTTCTTAGTAAAACTGCTACCGGCGTCGAATCACCGTGGAAGCACAATAATTACTTCTATTGGGTACTGTATGCACATTCCTCGTGCAGATAATGCATTAGATCTCGAAATATCTTTTCTACTCCAAAATATTGTGTAATGTACCTTTTATCTGAACACATGTAATACATCGGAGTGTATCTTCGAAGCCAAATGGATCAGATTATTCAAGTCTTACGCCGAGGACAAGAGACCGTACGGCCAACTATTCACACATACCTTCAAGGTAAGATCGTGACATTAGCGCTATGGACATAGTATACAATTTGGTCCTGTAAACATTTTGAAAACATCCCAAAACTCCAACATAAACTCAAATCCAAATATTAGATACACCTTTCAAATTCCCCAGTGTATATATTTAAAGAGCCTGCACCGAGATACGTCTCGGAGCACCACTAGACTCACGTAGATGATTGTGGTGCATCTGGCCATCCTCCTCCATATCCTCAACATCAATACTGAACCGTCTAGGCTTGGACCAAACACCGAATTCCGCTCCACCATTAGCCTCACCAGCATTCTTCATCTGCTCACTCTGAACACCGAAGCGATCAACCAACGACTGGTATAGCTCCGCATGCGCCGAAGCCCGTCTCGCACTCTCGCCAGTTCCCATACGCTCCTGCGCACGACGCATCAACTCCATATGCTGCGACGCAGTATCAGCAGCACGGGCATGGCCCTCGGCCTCGGAGTCGCCGAGCAGGTCGTACAGGATTCCTTCGTGCAGAGCCGCTGCAGACTTGTGGTTCTCCGATGCTGTGAACATCGCGGACAGAAGCTTGGTCATGTCCATGGTGACAGGATCGCAGCTGCCCCATACCTGGCGAAGGTTATAGCAGATGTCGCGACATAGCTGGATGGCGGAGTCGACTTTGCCGCTGCAGAAGCGGGTTTCGACTAGTCGGCGGCCGATCCAGACCACCACGTCTGGTGTCCAGGTGCGCTGGACGATTCGGGAAGTCCAGAGTTGGGTGAGGATTGATTCGAGCTCGTCGAACATCTCGTACTGGCCCAGGAGGGTGATGATGTCGTTCAAGTGGTTGAAGGGTAGGTCGACCATTTCAATGCCCATGGATTTCGAGGCGGCCATGACCTCTTGCAGGAGTAGCTTGGACTTGATCGACATGGCTTGGTAGGTCTTTTCGTTGGTGCACTTGGTTGCCTTGTGGCCGCTCAGGTACAGGCAGAGCTGGGTGGCGGTGTTGATGCTCTCCTGGTTGTTGAGACCGTCGGTGAGATGCATGAAGGAGTGCAAAACGCCTGTCAGGATGGTGGCTTCCTGGAAACGGGAGGAGTTACACAGCTCACGAATAAGGTCGGTGGTCGTTGTCAGGATGTTCGTGCTGTAGTTGTCATTGTGAACCTCACGCAAACAGATCTGGTAGAATTGCTGCACGATTCCCTTGTCGGCGACCTTGGTGGCGGACAAGTTGGAGCAGAAGTATTCGTACAGCTTATCCTTGGTTTCGTTGGCAGCGCGAACTCGCTTCTGACCGATCTGAAGATTGTAGAGCTGGTGACCATGGACCAGAGTGGGAATGAAGTCGTGGCTAGAGAGACTCTTGGTGAAGGCTTGAGAAGTCTTCATCTCACGAGCCATCTCGTTCATGATCTGGTCGTAGCTGGCACGTCTGCCGAAGACTTCCTCGAAGGCAGCGACGAAGATGGCGTCACGACGAGAACTCAAATTCATGGCGGAGGATTCGGAGCTATATACCACGCGGTGGCGGAGTTCATCAAGGAGGTTGTTGCCGCCTTCGATGAAGCCGCACTCAAGGTAGATGCTTGCGATCCGGCGGGCCCAGTCGCCCATTGTGGCAGGGGCACTGTCGGCATGCAGCACATCCGTAGAGTAGGCGTGGAGAATGGCATTGCCCTGCTGAACAGAAGTAGTAGTTCCCTGTCGCGAATGGGCGAGGGAAAGTTCACGGAGCCACGAGAGAGTCGTGGTGGAGAAATAGCCCTGGTTCTTCTTGGCCAGCTGGAACTCTTCGGTGTAGAGGGAACGGGCTTCCAGTGTCGAATCATGCTTGCGCACATAAAGCTGTGCCAGCTTGTGCTTGAGGGTGATGGGCAGCGGTGTAGTCATCTGGTCGAGACCCTTCGACGACTGAGAAGGATCCACCCACTCGCTGGTTTCCAGAGGAATCTTGTACAGCGAGATGGCTTGGTCAACGTACGAATCGCTGGACTCACACAGCTCGGCAAAGAGCAAGGTAGCATTGAGCGTCTTCTGGCTTGTTGCGCCGTGCACATGGCGACAGGTCATGACATACTGAGAGGCAACCTCGTACCTCTCGGAGAATTCGGAGCGCTTGTGGGTAGTCAGAATAGACATGTAGCCCATGTAAGTCTTCTCCAGCATCCGGTCGATCAGCGCATGATCATAAGTGTATTCATTTTCCTTGTTGTCTTCGACAACCAGGGTAGGCCAGAGTGATCGGTAAACCTGCAAAGCAGAATCCCACTTCATCTCCGACTCGTAGAGGGTGATGAGGGCAATTGCAGCGTCGATGCCCACTGTTGCAATTGTGTTCTTATCGGAAGTAGCCTTGTAGATGCGCTGGTAGATGCTCTTAGCCTCACCGCTCATCTCCAGACGAGTTGCCAAAGCAGCCTCGAGATACATGTTGTCGATGGTATGCTCGTGGGTCTCTCCGAGACGGGCGGCCAGGAAGTTGCTCATGGTATGGAGCAAAGTCAGCGCCTTGTTGAACTGGTAGGAAGTCTCGTGGAACTCGACGACGGCCTTAGCGACGGCCAAAACCGACGGCACAGGAACTTTGTCGGAGGCGATCATAGAACCGAAGGCATTCTCATACACAGTTGTAGCCTGTTCCAGATGCAGCCTGCGGAAGTGGCAGTAAGCCAACACCAAAGCCAGGTCTGCCACGGGAGGTGCCAGCTCGTGTGAGAACTTCTGGTGAGACTTGGCCTTTTCGACGTTGGGCCAGATGTGCTGCAGAACCGCCATCACGCATTCACTGCCGTGGATCCAGTCTTCCTCACGCACGTAGATACTGGCAAGGTTGTGGCACATGATCAAAGTGGTGACAGTCATGTTCTCCTCACTGGCGGAGATAACGTCCAAAAGCTCAACTAGCAGCTTGCGGTCTCGAGAAGACAGAGAGGATGCATTCTCCATAGAGACTGAATTTGCCATGCTTTGGGCAATTGAGAGCGCCAGATCGGTTGAATCCTCCGAGTACTCTTGGTGGGTCTCCTTGAAGTAGTGCCACATGAGAATGGACAAGGAGCGATCGAGATTGAACATAAGCATCTCCCGAGTCTCACCGCGCAGAAGGTGCACGCGCTGCAACATCTCCTCAGAGTGAATACCAGTAACCTCGAGATCTGCAACCAGCTCACGGATGATGACCTCAGACTCATCATTTTGGCCCTGACGGCGGAGGAACTGGTAGTACACAAGCGCGACATTGGCCTTTTTATCCATCATATCAACCGAGTCAATATCGCGCGAGTTGAGACCAGCCCACAGGCTGGAAAGAACTGCCTGGGAATGAGCAATATCACCCTGATCCTCGTACATCTTGGCCATGTACAGAGTGTAGGAGATTCGGCGCTCGTCGGTGACCTCCATGGTGCGCACGACATTGTCATACTTGGTTCTGGCAATATCGCGGCTCATCTCGTCGCTTCCAGTTGTCGAGAAGTGATCGGTCAAAAAGTCGGCAGTCTCGGATGACTGGCGCGAATTGGTGCCGTACTTCTGAAGAACTTGCTGGTAGAATTGCTTCGAGATGAACAACGCGGATTGGTTCTCTTGGCGAGACTTGTACATGCTGACGATCATTCCAAGGTACTTTAGACGTTGGTTGAACTCCACCCCGGTGATTTCGGAGTCGGTCAAGATCAAGTACTTCACGATGTCTTCCTGCTGAGAGGTCATCGTGCCTCGTTCGGAGAATGACTGAATCATCATCTCGGAGCATGCCAGAGTAATCGAGTGTGACTGGCCGAGAAGCTCCTGGCTTATCTTCCACGCTTCGTAGCAGGTCTCATCGGCGTGGCTGGCAGACGCCAACTTGGACACGCGTGCGCTGAGAACCAAGCTTTCCAACAGCGCGAGAGATTTCTCGCCGAGGACCAATCGGCGAATGTCACTCGCAAGTCTGTAGAGCTCCACAACACTAGACCGAGTGAATTGGGACTCGCGGCAAGTCAATTCGAGACGAGCGAATAGAACGGTGGCAGGCATAAGCTTCTTGAAGTTGGAATGGAATTGGAACTCTCCATCATCAGTGAGCAAGGGCGAAGAGAGAAGATGCGACAACCAGTAACGTGCGGTGTATTCCAAGACGGCATATTTGTCAAAGAGATGGTTGCGCTCCTCGAGGCTCAGCTTGTTCATGGAAACATCAACCTCCTCACGCACACTCAACTGCACACAGGAGAGACACCTGGTGAGCAAGTCGTAGTGGGCATCCTTGATACTCAGCTGGGACTGTCCACCCGATGATTTGGCTTGCTTGATGACATGGTCGCGAATGCAGGTGTGAGCGAAAGAGACCACTCCGTCACGGGCCATGACCAGAGGGTTCAGAGCATTCAAGATGTCATAGCTATTGGTGGGTTGATCGGAGTAGTAGCTGGGGCCCTTGGGGTCCACATTGAGCAAATGCTCGATTTCCTCGACCAGAAGGGGTCTCTCGGCAGCTGCGAGCCAGGAAACAACATTAACAGCACCCTCCTGGCTGAAGTCGAGGCTCTTAGAGTGGAAGTCAATAAGTTCAGGCATTAACTGCGGCAGGCCCTGAACGCACGAAACAGCCTGGCTCAAGGTCTTTTGCTGTTTAGCGTATGCAACTGCCATTTCAGCCCAACTGAAAGAGCCCTGGGAGCGGGCTACAATGGCAGATACAGCTGATTGAAGCTGGTTGCTCTTGTGGGTGTCAAAGTTGGCGCCAGATGCAAGCATCTTGTTGACATACGCTGTGATGTCTGTCTTGGTCTGGGAGGTATGCATGGTGAACTGCTGAACACCCTTGAAGCTCGACTTCACGCTCAGGGGCCGGGTGAAAGCGATCATCTTAGATCCAGCATTCTGATCGGAGAGAATCTCACAGATGCGATCAAAGCAGGCAACGGCATTGGTATGACCACCCTTGATCTGGTCGATGCCGTCAACCACAAACATGTACTGGATGTTCGTGGCAAGACCAGCACGAATACCCCTCCAAAGGCTTGTCTCAACTGCATCATCTCCAGCGCCATCGATCGCTCCTTGGGCTGCCCTGGCGACTTCAACCAGGATAGCCTCCTGGGTGTGCTTGTCACTGACGGAATGGTCCAACATCTGGTGAAGGATACCCTTCAGGATGCGCAGGGGCAGGGTAGCGACAGGAATATCATCACCTGTGTTGGATTAGCTCGCAAATTCAACAAAAGATACAAACAGGAAAACTCACGAATGGTGTATGGGATAACATTCCAGCTATCATGTTCAGCCGACTCCTGTAGTCTTTCGATTGTCCATTGAGCTAGCGCACTCTTTCCTGAGCCAGGACCACCAGAAATTAACATAACTGGGGAGCTTGAGACGGTGAAATCGTAGAGCGAGTTGTTGAACCACTCAAACGATCCCTCCGCAAGCGAATGAGCGCGGGAGTCGAGGATAAACTGGAGAGGGCGGTCCTGCACTCCCAGGAATTGACGCAAACTACCCAGCTCGGATGAGGAGTAGATCAGGGAGCTTTCCTCCACAATCTTAGCAGTGTGAGAATCGACAACACAATTCCAGTGGGTAGAGAAGCGCTTGGCGTAGGTCACGAAAGCGGCATCAACATTGCGCCCGATAATTTGATCGGACTCCTTGCTCTTGAATCCCTCGACACAGCTCATGGTCGTGCTACAGACCATCTCCAGCAAATCTGCGAAGACTGCAGCAACATCTGGCTGGAGTTCAGGAGACGATTTGTACGCGACCTCATACTGCAGAAGCAAGTAAATGCCGACGGCGACCCGGCCATATCGGCCGAAGACGCTCTCGAAGACATCCGTGTTGTCCATATCAGACTATACAATGAGTCAGTATCCATATCCAAATTCGTACATCAGGCATCTTAACTCACCTCCAAGAGGAGGATAGTGAATCCCCAGATGAGCGTTGCCGCATCATTGGCAGCAGGTGCGAAGGCTCCGACAGACTGTCGAAGGGCGTCGACTGCGTACGCCAGTCTGGACGCCCATCTGAGGCTGCAGTCGAGTCTGCTACCATCATGAGGCATCCAGCGGAGACGTTCGGCTGCAACAGCGTCGAAGAAAGCATCCACGTTAGGGCTGCGCTTGCTGATCGCACCGGAAGATAGGCCCAGCTGGGTCTTGCATTTCTGGGACACAGCCTGAACCTTCTCCTGGAGGACAGTGACCTTGTAGCCACTGCCACTCAGCTGTCTAACAATGCGCTTCGAAGTCACTTTCGAAGTGCTGCTCTTGGTACCGGAGCTAGCTTGGGCGGCTCGATTGTTGGTGTCGTCATTGACAGAGGGACCGTATGCACCGCCCTGTCGAGTTGCTCCTCCGCCACCAATGCTTCCTTGGTTGACTCCGCTGTTTTCATTGCTAGATAGGCCATATTTACCATCTTCGTGAAGTCCCAGAACTCCACCACCGGCGACACCTGCTTGGTTCGATCCAGTGGCGCTGGTATTGAACAAGGCGTTGTTTGACTGGCCCGTGGTGGTAGAACGTAGACCACTTGGTTGGTTGGATCCACTGGTGGTAGACTGCTCTGTGCTTGTCTGGACCTTGGGGGTATGGCTTTGATCTGACACCGCACGGGCATAAGTATAACCCGCCCTGTTCGCCTGGTTTGAGGCGGCCTTTCCTTGTCCACTTGCACGGTCATGTTCTCCCAGAGTAGTAGAAGCAACATTAGTCTTCGCGTATTGGGTTCTAGCTGGGTTGGTCTCAGAGACGGAATGCCTCTTGCTTGTCTGTTTTCTGGTGGTAGAGGTCTGGTTGGTGGCTCCTTTACTCGCACCATAGCCGCCGGCAGCTGCAGCGGCGGCAGCGGCAGCAGCAGCAGCTTCGCTTGCTCCCTCTTTCTGGGAAGGCTGAGAGCCCTGCTTCTCAAGTTGCTTTTTGTCGATGTGGTATTTTCCAACATTTTCTTGGCCGCCAGCTTTCTTGGAGAGGTTGTTGCCGGTGGTTCCATCGTCGAAGACATCGGGGCTGATTTTTTCATAGTCGTGGAGCTCTTTTTCAATGTATTCATCGCTCACATCACCTCCAGAGACGGCTTTTCCGGTCTTTGCTTGACTTGAGCTGTCCTTGTTGCCGCTTCCTGCTCCCGCGAACACAACCTGAGGAGAGTCTTTCTTGTCGGTTCCTTGACTAGATATTCCTTTGCTGCTTGTTCCTCTCTGAACGAGAGTTTCTCTGCCGCTCGCATTGTGGTAGTTCTTTTCCTGGAAAGTTCCCGGCATGGTGATGGGGCCCTTGCGGATGTCGTAGTTGGGTTCAAGTACTCCGGCCGCCACACTGCCTCTGTGGTCAAACTGTGTAGATCCTGAATCGTTCGTTGCATTGATGCTGTCTTGCTGCTTCTGAACAGCTTCTCGCATCTCGTTGCCAGTGTCTCGTTGCTCCACATTTGTTCTGCCAGTAGAGGAGGTGCCTGTGTTGTCTTGGCCAATTCCTCCTTTGCTGATTTTCTGTCCAGACTCCTGAACATTCCCCCTGTTAAGATCTTCTTTGTTCATTCCAGCAGCGCTGTTCGATGCTCCGCCGGCGTCTCCCTGGCTGGTCGCTTCTGTAGTGGATTGACCTTGGGTGATATTTTCTTTGGCGCCGTTGAAATTGTCTTGGTTGACATTATCGCGGGCAGATGAGCCTTTATCAAGACCTTGGTTGACTTGATCGCGGGCGGATGAGCCCTTATCGAAAGCCTCATTGGCATTGCCTCCCTGGCCAGTTGATTCCTTCTGACCTTGGGTGACGACATCTTTGGCGCCATTGAAGTTGCCTTGGTGGACTTCCTCGCGGATAGATGAGCTCTTCTCGAGGATCTCCTTGGCTTTGGCGAACATGCTGATGGGTGATAAATTGATGCTTGGTAAATTGATGGGTGAATATTGATGCGTGAATATATTAACAATAGGTGGATCGTAAAAATAAAAGATTAATCAAATAATGTCATTCAATCGTGTTTGTTCAGCTTTCAAAAATAGTAGATGTTCAAAAATATTAGATAGTTCAAAAGTAACTTAGAAATGGAACCAGGATTGGGGCCCCGGGGACACCTAAATAATACTAGCAACCATCCTTCTTCTCATTGCATCATAGAATTATTTCGGTCACGCCCGACCGACGTCCATATTAACAGTGGGCTGCAAGCACAAGTGAACGTATGAGGAAGCCTCTTGCTCGGTAATTCAGCTGAGCCATCCTGTGACTTTGCTTGGATTGCAAGGCCCGCAGCCCGATCCAAGAAAGCAATGGGAAGCTCGATGTCATGGCACAGCATAATATCAAAAGTCGATGATGCTCAACCAGAGAGAGGGAGCGGGATAGGTGGATCGTCCAGCAGCTGGAGTCCGCTCCAGGTTTGGAAATTTCATCAAACGTATATTCAACGTTTTGTATTCTCCAGCTAAGATGACGGATTAGTATAATAGCTTGCAACTTCTGATCCAACTAACACGTAGACCCAATTGATGGACGTGACATCCTTCTTCGCATTCTACCCTGGATTATTACAAGTAAAATCAACTCCAAGCAGTCAAGGTCTCAGAATTGGGTTCAATCGATGTCATTGTAATTTGTGGGGTAAAGAGCTGGAGTTTGGGACAATCAGCTCTAATTGAGCTCAATGGCCCCATAAGCAATATATTTCTCCACTGTCTGACGATTAGACATGGATATCTACACATTTTCCATATTTATCTCAAGTGGATGTGAAAATCAGGATTGAAGTCAGCGACTGGCCCGGGGCCAATATCCCCTTAGTCATCTCAAGCTACCCCCGATAACCTTAAATTAACTCGATCCGTGGGCGTCTTGGCCCCGGACGTTCAATGATCTTGCAAAACATCTCCGGAGTCATCATTTCCGGATGACCCGGGATTGACCTCGGAAGCTGGTGAGGTCATGCCTCTTTGTTTTGGTGATCATTATGCCAAATGACCAGCGGCAACATCCGCTATTTATGTCATGACATTGACTTGTTGAAGCTTAACATCCTACAAGTTTCCTTGAAATTGAGATAGCAGGTTTACTACGATCGTCCTAGGGCCTAAATTGCTTGTTTGTCAAAAGCACAAATTCCTATTTGGGGACCAATATTGCTGACCATGCTCTGAGTCATGCGAAACCAGCGTGCAGAAGGTAGACACCATCTAAGCTACACATTACTTTTATACTATATATAAATGCAGTGAATACTTTTTTTCTTATTGCACTCTTCAGTAACTTCTATTGGAATTTTCGGTCTGCGGGCATTTTTCCTATCTTCAGACCGTCATTCTCGACACTTGTTCGATTGCATTTCCTGCTTGTAGGCAGTGCTCGAGATGTCCATCTGACATAGCACATCACATGGTATATATAAAGAAAAATCCATATTTTTGAATTGATTTTCAATTTGCAGCCAGCCTTCGCGTCCTTCTGGCTATAACATAGAAAGGAGGAAAGCACGGTCTTTCCCGATATCCATCGATCGACAAGCTGAGATCAATGTAATATATGACGTCATCGGCAGCTATAAACAATCCATTTGGAGAGCGTCCATACTTCGTCTGTCCGTGAGAATACTCGTGCCCATCGTCTTGCTAGTATAGAGAAAATGTCGACTCCGTCGTACACCTTTCTCCCCCTACACTCTCCTCCTGATGCCTTTGAAGGAATATGAGTAACAGCTAGAGGAACTCTCCGTTAAGTGTATCATGTTCGATCACCCATCTAGGTATAGCACACTAAAAGGTGAGCAAAAAGGACGAGTAACGTATAACCAGTATTCATGTTAACATGGCAATGTGTATTACCAGGGAAGCGCCTAAGATCCTCCACTACCTCACTGTTCCGGTTATCCCAGTCGTTCTCACTTAAATCTTCTGGCTTTTATACCCTTCTTTTTTCCCCTTACTAAATACATGTAGAAGAGATTGGAGCCTCGGCTCATAGTTGGTGCCCGAGGCTTAAGCTCACTTATACACCCAAAAAAGGGTCCAACGTAGCGGCAATGCCATGGGTATAACATCCCTAATATCATCTTGATAAATGGATCAAGTTATTAATATGAAAGTGATATGCATGCTTGTGCTCCATCCTTCAACGTTCTCTTGCATCAGCTGAAGCGAAAAGGCTTGTCAATTTCTATCAGCCCCCGTACTTTTCATTGGGCCCATACATGAATTGGAAGGACAAGACGAAAACGTGGACTATATACACTGGTGAGCTCTAGCACGTGTGGAGCAAAACATCATACAGGTGTGGAGTACACTTTAATGTACAGTGGCCGCGGGAGTTGTATTACATTATTGTCATTGGGAGACCAGAGCAAACCCCATAGGAGATGAGTCCCACCATGGAAGGGCCCGCCTTATCCATTCTACAACTCATATCAGACCTAAAGAGGCAGACCACTGATTAAGAGCGATCTCTATGTTCCTAGGCACTTTCTCAAGTAGAGATAACCCGAAAAGCATGGAAAAAGAGGTAGAGTCCATTTCTGGATCGGAAATGCAATTCATGAAACAGCCTATGAAATGAGTCGAAAAGGGATTCTGAAGTCTAGCCTGCGAACTGCCCGTAGACAGCTCACATCCAGCCACAGCTTTCCATCCTCAGACCGCCATGGGTATTCATCCATTTCCGCGAATCAACCTCCAAAAAAACCCATCCGTTGCCAGCAAAAAAAAATTCAAGTGAAGACGAAGAAGCGTGATATCATCCGTACAAGTACCAGCCGTATCTGGTGTGCTTTCGTTCGTTTGGGCCGTGATCGTGCCGTGGTTATGCGAAGATTGTCATCGTAGAACTCGACTAGCCGATCGCGGCTCAGGTGGTGGTTTTAACGACTTGAATAATCTATTGGCCGGGGTTGGGGTTCATCTGCATTCGCGACTGGTCAGCCTTTCTGTCCTTCATTCCCGATATTCGTGGTGTGGTGGAGGATATTTTGCGGAATTTGCGTTGTATGTGGTTGTGCGTTGTGGATGGGTGGGAGTCATTCGATATGTACCTTGCGCTTGCCACCGGTCATGGTAACGTTGACGAAACGGCGGGTGTAAAGAATACGCTTGTAGGCGCGACCCTTGGGGTTCTTCTTCTTCTCCTGGGGCTCGACCTGGATGCAAAATTGTCGTTAAAAGGACTGGTCGAATGGATAGCCACTGCGATCGTGTATCGAGTGGCGTTGGCTGGAAATCGAAGAGAACTCACCTTAGGAGTGGCAGCCTTGACCTTACCGGCACGGGCGAGAGAGCCGTGAACCTTACCCATGTTGGATGATTGACGTTGATGAACGGGTGACTGAAGTGGTTTGGTGATGAAGCGATTCTTGAATCTCGATTGGGAGTGCAAAATTGGGAGTGCGACCTGTGTGGGGCGGCTTAGCGAGTGCTTTCGGTCCGGATTAACTCAACCCGTGTGGGGTCATGTGATGTGAGGGTAAGTTGGTGAGGTAAGCCGGGGTTAAGGGCGTCTTGGCAATAGTTTCTCCGAGGTGTATGGCGATAGAACTTACCGAGTGTTAGTTATGGTACAGAACTGATGGGCAAATGAAAGAGAAAAAAAGTAATTGGAAGGGGTAAAGCGGTTATTAAATATTTATTTTCTCAACTACAGTTTACAGCTCTTACCCTGGAACCTCTGTCCATACATAGGTAGCAAACAGCCTTATGACTCAAAGTCGGGGTCTCTTTTTGGTATCACGAGTAATGTACAAGGTTCTCTCCAGCGCTATGCAATATTAGGTATCCCGGAATTCCATGGATTCAACACATCCAGCCCACCCATTTGGATACACCTAGGCCCCCTTCGATTTCTCCCTGGCAGCAGCCTCTTCTCGTTCCCTCTTTCTTGCCAGATACCGCTCTTTGGCGCTGGACACATCGACCTCGGTCTTGCGACTGCGGCTCTTTTCGGCGATCTCCTTTTGCTTTGCAGCCTCAGCCTCCTCTTCTTGTCGCGCACGCTCCTCGTACTGGCTTGCGACCATGTCGGTCTGTCGAGCCCGCTGGGCACCACGGCCACCTTGGTAACCAGCACCTGGTCGCCCAGCGGTAGGTCGTGAAGATCCTGGCTTGGGGGTAGGTACTTGAGGTTTCGGTTTCGGTGCCACGTTCAGTCCTGCAGACAACAACTGGCGCTTGTCGACAACTTGGCCCTCGTCATTCACAACAACCCGAGCTCCATGAGAATTGAGATCCTCCGCCTTCTGGGCATCCGTCTTATCCTCTTTATCCTCCGTCTCCTCGACGATCTCGCCTGCTTTGAGGCGGCGGGCAGTTTCTTCCGCAGCCTTGATGACCTCCTCGTGCCGTGCTTCTCCTCGCGACAGAACGTCCCGGTAGAATCCAATCATGCCGGCGCCGCCACTCCTTTTGCGCCGTTCTTCTTCTTCCTTTTCACGGCGTGCTTCCTCTTCCTCTGCCTTCCGCAGTTCCACTTGCTGTGCCTTGTAGGCAGAGGTGACAAATTTCTCTTTGTCGGCAAACTCTTCACCTTCGGCTTCACGCTCCCTAGCTAGCTGGCGATCCTTAGCCCGTAGTTGATCCCGTTTTCGGATCTCCGCAGTCTGTAGCAAGTTCTGCATGTACTTGGGTGTATCGCTCTTTGTTTCCACCGCGGACTTGACGGGTTTGGCGTGCAAACTGTCGTATACTTCATCGTAAGAATAGATCAATGGATCGAGTTCCTCGGCTGCCTTTGCATGCATGTTGCTGCTATGCATTGACGCGAGATTGGTGTATTTCTGCGCAGGGGCGGCTGGCTTTTTCGGCTTTGCCTGGTTTAATCCAAGATTCATTGCTCCTTGTTGCTCTTTTTCTCTTTCTTCATCCTCATCCTCATCGTCTGCAAATAGCGAGTTCTTGCTGAGCGGTTTGGCCGTTGGTTTGGGACCGCTCCCGAATTGAATTTTGCGTTTCGGCGGTTGCCCTGCACTTGGTGGGGGCTTCTTTTTTGTAGCTGGTTCCTCTAACCCTCCAATAGTTGAGACTTCAATTGCGCCATCGCCAGTTTGCTGGTCTTCATCGGAATCGTCGTCAAAAATGTTCTTTCTTTTCTGCCCGAGAGCATTCCCCGGTTTCGCTGCACTTTTGTTCGGAAGGTTCAATCCGTAGGGGAGATTTTCCGGCATATTGGAACTCAACTTTTTGAAGTAGTTCCGAGGTTTTGTGTACTCAGATGAAGAACAACGACACTAGTGTGTTCGGCAGACGATGCTTGTCGAGGTCAAAAGTTGCGACTGCGATCGACTGCGATAAAGCCTTGGCTGGTTATCAGTCGATCACGTGCTGGTAGCTTTTGCGGGGAGATCGGAGCATTCGAAGTATACCAAACATAAGGTAATGTCGGTTTGGTCACTAAGAGCTATTGATTAGAAGCTAATAGGATATGTATTCTGGCTTGATTGTATCGCCAAGCTTAGGGGTATCAATACTATTAGCAAATTTAGTTCTGGATTTGAGATACAAAGATATATAATAGCTAAGAATCTGGTCTGGACAAGATATCACACTTAAAAATCCTCTGAAAACAGCGTGAAAGTCAATTTGAACTACATAGTCCAAGAAGTCAGAAACTCCCAAGCCGACACTTTTATACAATATCTTTCATCCTTTAAGTTGACCATACCAAAAGTGCATACATCTTCACCTGGGCAAGCTCATTGCTTATCAGCCACGTGATGGCGGCCGCTAGTAAAGCCACAATCCCCAGCTCCTCGACCGTCAACGGGTCCATCTCAACCCTTAATAATCCCAAACTGCTCAAAATGTCCTACTACTTCACCATTCTATCGCCCACCGACACGCCTTTGTTCAACATCGCCTTTGGTACATCAAAGGGGGGTGGTGATGGCATTGCCCGCTTCCGCTTCCCGGAGACAGCGCAGTACATGAACCAGTTCATCATCCACTCAAGCCTGGACATATTGGAAGAAGCGCAATGGACGAATAGTGGAATGTGAGTTTACTACGCCATTCCATATTTTAAATGGTCCCTGCAAACTGGCTCGAATTCCTGAAAGCCATATGCACACAGAGGAACCCCCCAAACAAAGCCCAATAACCCGCATACCCCACATCATACCTCCAATTCCAAAGTTAACATTGTCGCAAAAGGTACCTGAAGCATATAGACACCTACCCGCCAGCAGCAGCCTACATCACGGCCTTCCTCACCCCAAGTGGCGCGCGCTTCCTCCTCCTCCACCAACCCCCGAATCTCCCCTCTTCAACCAGCACAGGCAGCGGCCTTGGCTCCTCCTCACTGCTAGGCACAGCAGGATCTACCACACGCGCCTCGTCCAGCTCCATCGCTGCAAACCCCACCTCCCCGCAGACCGAAGAGGCTGTGCGCCAGTTCATGAACGAGGTATACGAGAGCTACGTCAAGACGGCGATGAGCCCGTTCTACAAGCAGGGAATGGAGATCAAGAGTCCTGTTTTCAGAACGCGAGTAACTGCTGCAGGGAAAAAGTGGCTGTAGTCTGGCTGTCTCTTGGTAGTTTTAGTTCATGAGCGTGGCGTTTCAGGGCATGTATTATTTTGGGGGTTGATTATTTTGCCTTGCTCTGCATAATAGAGAAACATATTTACAAGTCAATGATGGAGTCGATAATCTACTAGTAGTGTCGAGTGTAATACAAATAAATGTGTCCATTTTATTTCTGATTCAAAACAACTAAGTGAAGTAGAAGTGTAAATGACTATTTTTCTGCACCTGAAATGGCTGACAGAAAATGACACTATCTGGAATCAACGAAGTCCTGTCCCGCTAAAACGTAACAAATGAAGAGGTTCGAAAAAGAAAAGCAACGAGTATGCGCACTGCAGTATCTCAACTGAAAAGAGATAACTCCAGTCCCAAACGCCGGGGAATTTCCTTGCATCCCAGCGTCCAAAGCCAACCCGCGAAAACAAAAAGTACAGACTTAGACGGTCATCTGAGGAGCCAACTTTTTCATGGTGACGGTTTTGAAATTATCGACAGCGTGAATGACGTCGTCCAATTTGGCAACAGTTCCAAAGATTCCGCCTTCCATTTTGATCGATTGAATCGTGCTCACATGCAGCGATGGCTCGGCGGCTGCAGTGCCATCATCCAAGACGACACAGTCAAAGCCACGGTCATTAGCTTCGCGCATAGTAGTCGAGACGCAGACGTCGGTAGTCACACCCGCAATGACGAGGTTTTTCACTCCTTTGTTGCGGAGGAGAAGCTCAAAATCGGTATGTGCAAAGGCACCTCGGCCAGGCTTGTCGATGACTGGCTCGCCGGGGAGAGGATATAATTCGTCGATAGTGTCGTGGCCCATTTCGCCACGGATAAGCAGGCGGCCCATGGGACCAGGGGAACCAATGCCCAAGCCGGATGCGTTGTTACGGGACCGGTATGCCTCACGACTGGACAGAGTAGATAGATCGGATCGGTGACCTGATATCCGTTAGCAAAAACATATTGGAAGCTAAGAACGAGACATTAAATACCCTCGCGAGTATGGTAGACCGGGAAGCCTCCAGAGCGGAAAGCATGAAGCAAGCTTTGCAGGCGGGGAATCAAAGCCTGGGTAGCAGAAATATCATAGCCCTGATATCCCATGTATCCTTCCGGCGAACAGACTAGGAGAAAATTAGCCAGATGATCCTCTGGTAGTGGTGATAGTCTGAAATACTTACAGTCCTTTTGCATGTCAATGATCACAAGCGCAGTGGTGTATGGAGTGAATGAGGCATCATGAGGCCAATCATATGGGATGGCTGGCAGCTGGCCCTTGCGGACCTTGTGGTGAGGCACCTGCCGCGGTTTCTCGATAATGGGACCATGATTGTGCGTCGCATTGAGCACTGTCAGGGTCCAGATACCTGGAGATCCGGCTGCGACCAGCATGAAAGGACAATCCATCAACCGCGAGGTTCTGCGGCGCTTGCGCGTTTCCTCAGTCAGACCGTTCCGTGGCCGATAGTGGCCGCCACGATCACAACGCAGCCACACCTTGGCGGTGCGGCCAGGCTTCTTCTCAGTGGGCGTGCTTGACGACTTGACAACTACATTGTAGCCATGTTCCTTGCCATGGTCCTGGACCGCGGCGAGAAGAGTTGCTCTATAGACATGAGTGGTTGATATTGGTCCTAATAAGCAAGGGGCAATGGGACGAGAACTTACTTGTCAGGGTATGTACCCTCTGGAGGGGGAACCAATTGCATTGCCAGTTCTGGAATGTCTTGAAGGTCACTAGGCGCATCGTCAAGGTTGAGATCGGTTGAGTCTGCCATGGTGATAGATCGGGTTGGGCCTTGGCCTCACTGAAGGGGACCTATTTGAGGGAAACTGTAAGTTCAGATGTCATACCATCATCCCACGTCTAGCCGATGCGCCTCAACACTGGGGTAGATGGAGCTTGCGAATAATCGGGGGTAAACAAGTGCGTGGAAGCAAACAGGATGATCAGCGACCTTAGGAACAGCGTGCGTGGGCATAACATCCAGGGTAGTGTTTGGAGGCAACAAACACATATTCTTAGAGCTTGGAAGCTCACAGAAGGTTCTAGAGCAAATACTAAAAGATAGACAAAGCCACTTACCTCTCCGACTTGATTGCCCTAGAGACCTAAAGACTGGAGACTGGGGACTGCTGAGTCCAGATCACGGGCTGAGGTCGATCAGGATCACTTTCAGCTCCAATGAGGCTTAGCTCCATATTGATGCCTGAGGATGCCTTTTGGTGCCTGAGGCATACACTTCTGCCTTAGCACGTTAAAAGAGCGGTGGGTGGCTGAGCCCAGATCTGCCAAATTAGGACTAGCTTATCTCCCGGCCCCCCCTGACGACCGAAACAACAACATCGGTTTCTCCCAGCCCGATCTAATCTAACCCGCTTTTCGACGCGAGGCGGGTCGAAAGTAACCCAGCTTTGGACATCTTAACTCGCCGGATCCCTCGGTCTTCTCTCCTTCTCTCTGTGGAGGGACATTTTACCAGGTACCCAATCAATCCCTTGCGTCACCGCCTCGGGGAGGGGCTCTTATCAAAACGCACGGTTATTGACATCGGGCCACCACACAACATATGAGTCTTTGAGAGGGGCTGGTGAGATCTGCAGGGCAAGATAGCTTGGTGCACAGTCCCTACTGATTTACGCCAAATTTGGACGACACCCGTCGTCCAGATATCTTCTTTGCGACCTGTCCTCTGGGTGCCCAACGCGAGAAGATGCCGGCCGTCGATGAGTCACCTTCCGAACGGAAGCATACGAGCAGCTCTTACAGGGATGAACTAGCTCATTACAAAGCCCAGTATGAGCAACTTGAGGCGGAGCTTGCGGACTTTCAGTCCTCCAGCCGGGAGCTGGAGACTGAGATGGAGAAGGACATTGAAGCTTCGGAAAAGCGGGAACGGCAACTGAAGGAAAAGCTTGACACGATGCGATATGAGGTCGACGAGTGGAAGGTAAGCGGTCATGTTCATTGCTCACAATTATGCGAGTACTAACATTCCGTTGGTAGACCAAATACAAGCAGTCGAAAACCGAAGGCAACGCTGTACAGAACAACCTGCAGAAAGAAATCACCACACTGCGAGATGCGAACCGCACTTTGCAGCTTAAGCTTCGAGATATTGAAGTTGCCAACGATGACTACGAGCGGCAAGCCCGGAACACGACCTCGTCCCTGGAGGACATGGAGTCCAAATACAACATCGGCATTGAGCGCGGGGTCTTGCTAGAGGAGGAAATGAGAAATGGGGAGCAGGAACGAGAGCAGCTGCGCATTGATAACCAACGCCTCCGGGATGAGCTGTCGGATCTGAAGATTGAGGCCGAGATCATCCAAGAGAAGCTTCGAAATACCGAAGGACATGGGTTCCGCCGCCGCAAGCCTACTCCTTTGTACCATCGCAGCCCAGCAACTCCGCAGAGTTTGGAGATCTTTGATCGTTCGCCTACCGCTACCTCTTCCCCGGTATTTGCTACGCCCCCCGCTAAATCATCCCTTGCGTCGTCAACCGCTACCCCACCCTCGCCCCCTATCTCCGAGTCGTCCGTGAACTTACGCAAGTCGATCAACCCCAACACAAGCGGCACGCCCACATTCCCTCGACAGAGAGCCGCTGGCACAGAGCCAGTGAACTCTAGAAC